TTATAATCTTGAAATGAGAATTTATTTAGGATGTGCTTTAATAGAATTAGAAATGTATGGGGAAGCATTAGAGATTTTCAAATTATTAAAATCAGAAGAACCAACACATACAGGTATATCAAAAAATCTATCACTTTGTTATCTAATGATTGATGATGTAAAAAGTTCATTACAATCAATAAAAGACGTAGCACAAGGTGATATAGCTAATATGAAATATTTTTTAATGTTAGCCATCAAAAATAGACTTAAAGATGAAATAGAATGGGCTTTAAAAAGAATTTATTATGATAGTTCAGTAGAAGATATGATTTTATTTGTAATACAAGAAAATTTAATTAAAAAAGAAAATTTAAAAGAAATATTATTAGCTAATCCACATGTAAGCATTGATTCAATAGATCATTTAATGCAAAATTATCAAAATAAAATCTAAAATTTATTTTTCCTTTTTATTTTCAATCACATTATTTCTGACGTTTTTATATTTACAGCTATAACAATGAAAATAATCAACATTAGAGTTTTTAGGATCAATAAGGCCGTTATGTTCACCACAAGCAGTACAAATTAAAGCATTAGATTTAGATGGATCGGGTGTTAAAATAAATCCTGAAAAACGATCAAAACCAGTATATTTCTTACTTTTGACGTTAGAAAAATAAGAAGACTTTTTCTCTTCCTCTTCAAACTTCTCAACTAACTCACGTTTTTTTCTAAAACTTGGTTCACTTTTACACATTTCAACATACTTTCTTTGTTCTTCTCTCAAATTCTTTAATTTATACTCGTTCATTCTTATCTGACTCTTTAAAAATCTTCTATTTAACTTAAATACTATCAATTGAACACAACTGATTATAATTCCAGTGATTATTTTAGATTTTATATAAGATTAACAAAAAGTACCAGTTATAACTAAACAAATAATAAGTTTATAAATTGGTAGTGGTTTTCTTCTTAAACTAATTAACTTTGTCTCTAAATAAATTATTTTTTCTTCATATTCAAACAGTTTATCACTTTTAGATTCTTTTTTTCTGAATAATCCAAACATATGGGTTGAAAAATAAAATTTATAACAATTTACACCCTAAAATTACTAGAATGAATGTTAAGAAGGTGAAAAGTGTTACTTGGAAATTATTTTTATTGGTAATCAACAACTGGATATTAATAAGTTATATTTGGTTTTATGGTAGAATTTGGGACTTAACTAATGACATTAATCATGAAATTATTGAACAGACGAATTGTTATTTTAGAGGTGATTCTGCTTTCATTTTAACTAAAAATAGTTTTAATGGTTTTTATAAAAATCACTTCAATCAAGAATCCATTTATTTGATATTTCGTATTAAGAATTTCAAATTTTCTCAGATAAATGATTTAAAAGAACTTAAAGGATTAGAAAATGTATTTTATTTTGAATCAGATGATTTATTGACTAATTATTATGTTGAAAAAGAATTTACTAGTGAAAGAATTAAGGAGTTAGGATTTGTTAATGATCATTTGTATAAACTAAAAATTCCTTTATCAATCTTAATTAGCAGTGAAATTGTTCAGAAAATTATTAAACAAGAAAAATTACTAAAAGATTTTAATATTTATGATTTTAAATTTGGTAAACTAAAATACACTCGCTTTAGTGATAGATACATGAAATATGAATATTATGATTTAATTACTTTTTACAGTTCTATTAAAAATGATTATAATTCAATTGAAAATGATTTACTTGTAATTTTAAAAAAAACTTCATCTGTTAAAAGTGTTAATGATAATATTGATTATTTATCTGATTCTTTATTATCTTATTTAATAAATATTAAAGTACTTAAGGTAGATGTTGATTTAGAAGAATATCCTGATTTACTTAGTTCTTTAACTGAAGATATAATGTGGATTGATCCTACTTTAAATAGGTTAAAACCTGGTTTAATTATAAATTATGGTTTTGATTTAAACAAAATTTTTTTTAATGAAGAAATTTTAAAATTTTTTAATTTAAAAAGAGTTAATCAGTTAATAGATAGAGATGGTGGTGTTTATTTGGTTAATCATGTGATAGTTAATTAAATAAAAACTTTATTCTGTTATATTTTTAAGTATAAATAAATCTAAAGTTTCATAATCCGCATCATCATTATCAATAAAAAATCTTTCATAATAATCAGAAAATACACTTAAATATTTATAAATACTTACGTAAGGCATCAAACATAAAAGTGGTACATTATTAGAATTCATTTGATTCTTAATTATGTTATTTTCGAGTATAAAATATTTCATAACATCATAAAATTTAAACTCAATAGAATTTGTAAATACTGATACATCAATAATCTTTAATAACGAAAAAATAGTTTTTATCTTGTTATTATTTAAATTATTATTAGTTTCTAATTCAAACAAATTCTTAAGCTTATAAATATGTTCTAATATTATTGGATAAAGAATTTTTAAACTGTCATTATTAACTTTATAAATAAGAACAGAAATTAAATTATAAGTTTCTATCACTAAATCATTATCATTTAAAAATTCATAAATATAAGTACATAACTGATCAATAAAATCATCAAATGTTCCATGATCACATGATAGAATAAAAAACTGTATTTTCTTAAGTGCGTTCTGTCTCTTAACAACATTTTTTCTAAAATATGATGGATTTAACTCTGTAAATAAACGTTCTAACATCTCGTCTAAATCATACATTCTATAAATATTTTTAAATATTTTATACTTTGTCTCAGTAAATTTTTTTAAAAAATTTAACTCTCCAATATGTTCAACAAAATTATCAAAGAATTTCGTTTTAAATTCATTTTCTTTTACTGTATTAGTTATAATAGAATCACTTATTAAACTTTCTTTACTGGTATTAATTTGATCAAAACTAATATTCTGACTTTCTTCATACAACGAGTATTTTTTAGCATCCTGAGATATCTTATACAAGAATATATAATAACTTTCTAAATCTTTCAAATTAATATTATGAAACTCAAAATTTTTTCCATTTGATTTTTTATACTTTAACAAAAACAAATAAAAATAATAGAAAATATCAGATTGTGGATAAGCAATCACTGCCTTTTCAACTATTTTATAAATCTTATAAACGTAAGTTACGTCCATTGTATCATATAAAACTATTCTAAATAAACAGAATATATCACTTAATGAATTATTAGCTTCTGAGAATTTCTTTAATAAAACATCATAATTCAAATAAAATCCATTATAAATAACACCAAGTACTAAACTATTAATATCTAATAAAATTACATCAATCAAATTAATATTAAAATTTGTTTCATATTTTTCTATATAAGTAAAAAATGTTACCAATTTCTTATTATCTAATAAAAGTAACTCTTTTTTAAATATAACTGTATTGGTGTTATATATAAATATTAAGAAATTAATATAATTGCTATTCTTATCATAAACTGAGTTATCTATAAATGATATGGAATTAGTGTTATTCTTAAATATTAAATCTTCTTTAAAATCATTTTCTATTATTGGTGTGTCTAATATTGCATTAGATTGAAGTACATTATTACTTAATAATTCATAAAGACTTATTTTTGATAAATCAGTAGTTGTCACCTGAGTGATTATAAAATCCAATATTTTACTATAAAATAAACTTGTATCAAAATCTATGTTATTACTAAGTAATATTTTATAAATATTTAATACCAAATCAATACGTGAATAGATCTTATCATCAAATAAAATAGTATTAAATAAATATAAATTTCCAAGTCTTTTAAGTTCACTAAGTAACACAGTTG